ACTGACACTCACATTTGGGGGGTCCAGATCAGTCCCATTCTGGCCTCCCCACTGTCGGTCTGGGGTCCAAGAGCACTCCCCTGTTCAGATCAGCTGTCTCTGCTGGTTTTGCCAGCCCATTCCTTGCCAATTTGCTCATCACTCCTCTCTCTCTGTCACTGGGTTCCTTGGGTTCAGTTCAGTGCTTAGTTGTGTGTTTGCCTCTGCTTCCATCAGTCCCAGGATGAAGGCTCCCGGATAGTTATAGACATCAAGTTCATTATCAGGAATGGGCATTCGAGGTGGTCCTTCCACTATTGCTTAGCTTGCCAATTGATGTTATACCTTTAGATCACTCGAGGTCACTCTGGTGCCTGATCTGTCTTCGATCCTATGATTCCCTCTTCCCCCTATTTTACCCCCACCCCCTCAACTTCCTGTTCCCCCATGACCAACTCTCATAATTTTCAGATTGGCAATTCTCATTAAGCTTAATTCCAAATTTTTAGAGGTTATTACACTATTCTGTTAAAGTATTGATGCTTTTATTTGCATTAGTGGAGTCATGAATGTAGGAGTACTTTTTCAATTTGTCAAGTTTTATAAATGTAGCTGATATTTTACATATTCACATTACCAGTGACTTTATCATATTTGGACCTACCATAAAAAGGACAGGGACTAATCAACAGACATAAACAGACCTAGGACAGGAAAACACACTGTTTAATGTAAGAGAAGGGTACCTGCCTGATAGCAGCTGTGTAGATCAAGAGCACAGTTGTATGTATAGAGTAGTAGGAAGCAGAGAGAGACAGAGAGACAGAGACAGAGAGAGAGAGGTTGTAAATGCCACAAGCCTTTTGAAACCTCAAAGCCCACTTCCTGTGACATGCTTCCTCTAACAAGGCCACACCTCCTAATCCTTCCCAAACAGTTCCACCAACTGGTCCCAAGCATTCAAATGTATGAGTCTATGAAGACCCACACTGGGTCCTCTTAGCCCATGAGTCACTTCTCCACCTACAAACACGTTTAAGCTTTTAACCAAATGATATTGAGCAATCAAATTTAAACTTTCTTTTCATATCACAGTTATATTACAGACAGCTTGAATTTTATAACCTCCAAAAGGAATACAAGTCAGTGCTCATATAATCTCTAATAAAGGAAGGCCATCGAAATGATAAGGTTCATAATCAAAATGACTGAACTGACAGTCTAGTATTTTTAGACTAGTTGTTTTAAGAAGCATAAACAGGAGATAAGTATAAAACAGTGGGTAGGATAATTTCATGAGATTCTTTAGTGCAGCTTATAGATCTGGGGTGTTCACTGCTCATACCTTTAAATACTGAGCTTTTTTTCTTCCTCTTTTTAAATAAAGTAAATTTATTTTATTTTTTAGAATGTCAGATATTCACAATGCCTCCCATTATCCTCTCTTCTACTTCTGCAGACATCCCATCTTTTCCTTCCCAATTCATGTATGTTCATGTTTTTCTTTTTGTTCTTGTGCCTATAGCCACAGCTACAGAGTGGTCCTGATGGCACTGTCTATGCCATATCTAAGAAGAAGCATTGAAAGACACTCCTTTGCATCCTCCAGCCCTTCTATCATCCCCACTTTTTAAAGTGAGGTTCACTGGGCTTTGGAGGGAGGGAACAGAAGTCCTGTTACAAGGCTGACACCAATCACTCACCATTAACACTTTGAGCAGTTGTCAATTTCTGTATTAACTACTGCCCACTGCTAAAGAAGGCTTCTTGGACCAATGCTAAGACCACCACTCATTTATGGCTCTGAACATAAATATTTAGAACATAGTTTAGTTGGTACTTAGTTTCTTAATCATGAATTTATTATATATTTATAACGTGAATTTCAATTAGGAAATTTGGATGGCTCCAATGCAACCATTTTATTCCTCATGATTTTTGAACAGACGTCAAACACAGAGGTTATCAGTGTTTGAGAATTTTTCAGATTCCAGGTATAAATTAGTTCTGCAGCTATTTGGAAGTAGTGGGAAATCGCTAACTCTTAAGATCAAAAGGCAGGGATGGTAAGAAATGTATGTTACAATATATAGTCAAAAGCTATCATCTGTACTCTACTAGCCTATAAGCTGCAAGAGAATAGGGGCTTGGGTTGTTGGCATTGTATTATGTCTTGCTGCATATTTTACATAACCACTCTCTAATAGGAGGCATTTAGTGTGCTCAATATATGAGATAGTATAGTAGATTTATAGTAGTTATATGGGATAGTACAGTAGATTTAATTGTTTGGTTGTATAAATACTGAATAAAAAAGCAACAGCATGTATCTTGGTTCTGGGTAGAAATTCCAGTATACTTTATTTAATAGTCAATGCATAATTAATGTTAGTTATTTTAGTTTGTGTGTGAACCAACCTGTGTTTTCATCTTCAGGAAGTCCTGCTGTCTTTGTAAGGCTGCCTTGTACATATTTAATTCATTTGAAGATCTACACTGGAAGTCTGAATCCTCATAAGTAATGTATCCATACAAGTACAGAAGGGCATTGTATTTTGAGTCAAGCAAATTGATAGCAAGTGTAACATTCTTTTATTGCTTAATACTGAGAAAGTAGTAGGAAGATAATAATTGATAGTAATTGCTGAAAATTTTGGAACATGTCAGTTACGTAGGAAATAGGGAAATGCGTTGATGAACACTGAAGGAAGACTTCTCAGCACTTTCTAAGTCTTTTTCAAGGGGATATGGAACACGTGGAATTTTAATTAATTCATTATTCTAGAATCATAACTATTTTCTAGTTGTACATATATTCTTTTCATATATTTTTATTTAAATTAGAAACAATATTATTTTACATATCAATCCCAGTTCCCTCTCCCTCCCATCCTCCCATGCCCTCCACCTCCCCTTCCAACCCATCCCCCATCCACTCCTCAGGGAAAGTGAGGCCTTCCATGAGGGACCATCAAAGTCTGTCAAGTCATTTGGGGCAGGGTCTTGGCCCTCCCCTGTGTATCTAGGCTAAGAGAGTATTCCTCCATAAGAAATGGGATCCCGAAGTCCGTTCATGCACTAGGGATACATCCTGGTGCCACCACTGCCAGAGGCCCCATAACTGCCCAGTGCTCCTAACTGATACCTACGTTTAGGGGGCCTGGTTCGGTCCTATGTTTGCTCCCCAGCTGTGAGAGTATAGGTTTCAGTATGGGTCCCACAGCTCCTTCACTTGGGTTAATCTTCTCTCACTGCTCCCTGATCCCCTCTGTCCCTCCACCCCATCCCTACTGAACCTTTCAACTCTCAGAATCCCCTTCTCTGCTTTGAGATTGCCTGCACTCTTCTAGCTCAACTTCCTTCAGACATGTGTCTCCTGCTAACGCTTTCCTATTTTGGCTTCTATGGGTTCTTCACGTAAAACACAGGAATCTAAAGAAATTTTATTAACAGGAATTTGTTTAAAAGATGAGTAAATTATATAGAAAAATACTAAGGCCTATAAGACTATTAGAAATCTCTGATCCTAGTTATAGTAAAATTATCTAAGGGTAGCCTTGAAATTGTAACTATGTGATAAAGAATTATAGGAATCTTTTCCAAACTTTCCAACCAGACTTCCGAGCCAAATTCAAGACTTTACTTTTGCATAATGCACTGAGATTCCGTTTTCCTCTCTTTTTGGTTCTAAATTTATTTTATTCTTTTTTGCCTTTGCTCTACAATAGACCAACTGAATTCAGTGAACTGGCAAAAAAAATTTCAAATGAAAACAAGAACTTGATGTCCTTTTTAGAGATCTCTGAAACAGAAATTAGCCAACATTTCTATCCTATTTGAATCCTTCTCTTTGGCCTATGACTTTAGTCTCAAGAGAATAGCTTTCACATAGATGCTTATTTCTTCAGTCACTGTAATAACCTTTATGTTGGACGTGTTTTTACAGTATTTTCAGTGGTATGATAGAAGATAGACACATTTATTCAATTTTTAGCATACTTGTTTTTGAGAGTTAACTAACTTTCTGAATAAGATTTCTAAAATAAGCATATTCACTTTCATGAAAGTGAGAAATTGATTGTTTTGGCATAATATGAGAAAATTAGCATTGTTTTAATGTTTTATTTTTAACCTGAATCTGTATTTTGTTAAACCCTTAATTTTTTCTCTCTTTTGTGGCATTTTGTTCACTGGTGTTTTGTTCATGATGTGCCAAGTCTCCATACCTGTTATCTCTCAGAATTTCAAGAAATACTGATAAGACTTTTTAATGTCAGATGTGTGCCAGTTGAGTTTGTCAATAAGCTCAAATGAATTGGTGTGTGATAAAGATAAGATGATATTAATTAAAAGATAAGCCAAGAAAACATGTTATTTTGTTATGATGATTTGCAAAGCCAGATGTCAGCAGACTTACTTCCATCCCTAAGAGAATGTATTGAGAAATTAGCTGCAGATTGTTCAAATTTTTATGAAGCCTACTTCATTCTTTTTGAAAGATGCTATAAAAGTCATGTAAATAAATATTCTAAGAAAATTGTCCTTGTTTTTTTTTAAATTAACGACAGATTTTATTTAGTAAAGATTTTCCAAAGGTGGGGAAAGTAAAATCCCATGGTATGTAAGAACAGCTTTCTGCAAAGTCATCTCCTACAAAGATACCCCTAGCAGTTTTTCCATTCATAAAAATGCTGTTGCATTGTTCATTATAATTAATAAAATAATAGATTTCACTAGATACTTTTATAATGCATTTTCTCATCCTAAATTCCTATAGCATCCCATATTTTGCAGATCAGTATGCTAACTTTTGGAGCAGCTGAATATAGCATTCTAAGCTATAAAGCTTACTGTTGTTTTCCTTTTGATGGTGCCATATGTCAGAAACAAAAGCAAAGATGAAAATCTCATCGAGTCATAAAAGAGTCTCCATTGCTTAATGCACCTTTTATAGAGACATGTCTGTCTACGGGATAAATTAATACTGCATGTTAAAGACGATCTTGCTTACTCCATTGCAGATGGGGAACTCAAGGAGATTTCAGCACTACCCACCCGCGGCCTGTGGTCAAAGTGAAACTCTTCACAGAGAGCACGGGAGTCCTGGCCCTGGAAGACAAGGAACTGGGCAGGGTGAGTTGTTCTCATTCCTGACTGTCCAGGGTGTCAGGCACTAGCGTGATTCAGAAGAACATGAACCAGCGTGTCTCAGGTGAAACTGGGTGTTCATAAAGTACTTAACATCTGGCTACCAAGATGACTCAGGGGCCAAGCCCTATGACCTGAGTTCAATGCTGTTGCTGCCACGCACACACAGTCATACACATACCAAGGCACACACCAAATAAGTTAACAAATGGGGGTGGGGGGGATATATAAGGCCACTTATTTGTAACTTTCCATAAATCCACATTACGGCTATATTAAGCATAGCTATGTATAAATGAGAATATATTGTTATATGTGTGGATGCATAAGAGGTACACGTGATATCAGAGTCACCAGCTCCATCTCCTCTGGCTGCTGAATGTCATTCACACCAGCCCACTTGTCCCTCCTGGTGAAATGTCAGTCTCTGCCTCTGCCAGGGTAGAGGACAGCTGCCAGCTGCACAAGCACAGGACCTATACAGGACTTTGTAGGGACAAAGTTTTCCCAGGGAAAAGATTTTTCAGGGAGGGAATTGGTCAGCTTTCGATCCCATTGAGCTTGGACAAGCTCAGCTTGATTAGATTTTTGCTCAAGGAATGGTTCGTTTTCCTGCTCACAGGTGGGCTGGTTGCATGTTCGGTTGGCCAGGGACAGACTTGCCTCTGGATTCAGGGCCAAAATGTGTTTCTTTCACTGACCCTTTTTTATTCTAGGCTCAGGACCAGCGTGTGTTTCTTTCACTGGCTCTGGTTCCAGGGCAAAAGTATGTTTCTTTTACTCTGGTTTCAGGATCAGGATGTGTTTCTTTGCTTCTTGTTTTAAGGGCAAAGTGTGCTTCTTTCACTGGGTCTGGTTTCAGGGCCAGGGTGGATTTCTTTGGTTTGCCCTTTTACTTTACAAACACTTCCTCAGTATGTTTTCCTATACTCACTGCCTTCTGTCTAGAAAAAATGTGTGTGTGTGCATGTGAGTGTGTGTGTGTGTATGTGTAAAACCCCTGTATAGTCCATATGCCATCAGAGGGTTAAATAGTTTAGTCATTACCACAGCCCAGTGTGGAAGGTGGTCTGCTGTCTAATAAAGTAGACATGTTCTGAGGAGTGATGCTGTGTTCTGCTATATGAACCCAGAAAACAGCCATCGCAGAGCATAAACGAGTGCTTACTAATTTTTTTTGAATTATGGATGGCTTTTTTAGTATTACAGAAGAACACTAGCAGCACTCTGTGTTTGGAAGGCTATCCCTCTCAGACTCGCGCTTTTATTCCCTTTAGTTCCTCTTCTACCTCATTTACTCTGCTGGAATTTTTGTGTACCGAAGTCCAGATTACTTCTTTGACTTCAGTGCGAACATTACACAGCTGAGCTGAACCTTTTCTCCGTGTAATCCTAGAGTCACACATTTATCCATTCAGTAAAGGCGCCTGTAGCATGATGCAGCAGAGGATTCCCAGAGAGTACATTTGATCTTACGGGTGTATGAATCAGAGTTGTTCACTTAAACCAGAATTATATTAATTTACCTTATCCTTATTGTAACTAGTTTTCAGTATCAAACAGCAGCTCTTTGAAATCTAATTTTATAAGTAATTCTTTGGATACTCTAACTCATTTTAGGTAATTAGATGACATATTTAATCAATTATTAAATGAGACAGCCCTTGTATACCCTTCAAAAACAAGGTAATTTTTCTATCAGTTTCTCAACTTTAGTATTGTAATATATTGAGCAAATACTTAGTATTGGGTGTTTCTTTGTCCATTTTATGATGTTTAATGTCATCTCTGTCCCCTAGAAAATTAGTGCCAGAGCACAATAATCAGAAATGTCTCAAGACATTGTCAGATGCCCCCAGAGGCTCTTATGAAGTCATCTATACTAATGATCTAAGTAGGTTTGAAGATTGCAGATATTATTTGTGTGTCATTGACTTCCAAAGTTATTATCTTTCCTTGGAGCTTCAGATTTACATGCTGAAACTGCATCCCAGGAGAGCATGGGATTCACACCATCGTAAATAAGTATTCCATACAGGCATTGTCAATCAGTGACCTAGAAGTCCCTCTGTTTCTCCTTCCCTCATCCCAGTACCCCACCTATTTGCAAGTTCTGTGTAACACAAATAATATAGACCCAGAGACAGATATTGGGGTTCCAGCTGAAGACCAGAAAAGCAAAGTAGCCAAACACTTGAGAGTTCTCACGTCTATCAATGCTCAGACCGAAGGGGCAATCCACCGATCTTCAGATTGAATCTCTAGACTACACTGCTCCTCACCAAATCTCAGACTACTGCCTGAAACTGAACTGAACTCCTTATATTGTCTCTATCTCTATGGGATTAAAGGCACGAGCTCTGTTTCTCTTTTAGACTGATTCACTCTCAGGTAGCCCAGGGTGGTCTTGAACTCACAGATATCCATTGGCCTCTGTCTCCTGAGTCCTGGGATTAAAGGTGTGCACCACCACTGCCTAGCTTCTATGTCCGTGGCTAGCTTTGCATTCTGATCTCTAGGCAAGCTTTATTAGCTCATACAATCACCACAGTTCTGTCTACTTTCTCTAGAATTTTCCCCCCTTAGCATTGCCACTAGCCAAATTTAAGGTACCATGTTAATTACACATGCCTCTGTAGAAATCCTTTTCCAATTGCCGCTATGGCCCCTATAGTTCAGCTTTTATATTTCAGCTACTATGATTTATTAAAACATCAGAAACAAGCTGGATGTTGGTGGTGCATACCTTTAATCCCAGCACTCGGGAGGCAGAGGCAGGTGGGTCTCTGTGAGTTCAAGGCCAGTCTGATCTATAGAGCAAGTTCAAGGACAAGCTCCAGAACAATACAGAGAAACCCTGTCTCGAAAAACCATATCAATAACAATAATAATAATAATAATAATAATAATAATGATAAATTAAATAAACCAGAAACATGCCATCATTCTGTCCTTAAAAATCACTCAGTGTCTCTCTATTTATTGGAGGAAAAAGCCAACTTAGTGTAGCCTAATAAGGCTTCTTAGTGGCCCTGGAGCAACTGCATCATCAGCACCTGGATATTAGTGTAAGATGCTGGTTGTCACATCCTCCTTTGGAGCTGCAAAATCACAGCCTGGGGAGTGGGGACTGCAGTGCAATTTAGTTGTCATTCTTGGTACCCAATTTAAAGAAACCCTGCTCGGAAGCTGACCTCTGCTTCCGTGTACTTTTTCTGTGTATGAAAACCTTCTTGCTGCTGTCCATCTTCCTTCAAATTTGGCTTGCTTTCTTGCTTTTCAAATATTTATGTCTCATTCCGGTTTTATACTTGAGGTCTTCAGATGTGTCACATCCTGAGCATACATGGCGCATGCAAATGGAAGGTAATCTTTGTAAAGCAGATCATAGCAGATACACCTATACACTTATCTAGGTTTTAGAAAACTCATTTCAGTTCAAAGAAAGAGACCTTACACAATATGAAATCTGTTGTCTAAATTATTAAAAATATACCTAAGAAAAGTTTGTTCTGTTGTTGTTTGCTTTGGTTTGGTTTGATTTTTGGAGACAGGGTTTCTCTGTGTAGCCCTAGCTGTCCTGGAACTCAAATTCTCAGAGATCTGCCTGCCTCTCAAGTGCTGAGATTAAAGATATGTGCTCCCATGCCCAGCTAAGAAAATCTTGTTTTTATACATGAAAATTTTGCTTATAATTGTATTATTTAACTTCAAAAATAAATGACAGTGATGGAGACTAGGTTTATACCACACAATACCACTATATATCTACTATAATTGTTAAAATACAGAAAAGGTGACCATAACAAATGCTGATAAAAATCCAGAACAGAAACTCATGTATTGATGGAGGTTATGCAACATTGAGAAGCCACTTTTGAAGAACTTGTTGTGTCTTACATAATAAACATAAACATGTGACCTCCATGCTGTACTTTTAGGTATGTACTCAACACTTATACATTTCTCACAAATGCAGTATATTGATTTTCAGGTGGATTGATGAGCTGTAGTATATTCTTGCAGTGAAATATTATTTGGTGTTAAAAAAACAAGTTGTTAATTCATGCAAGTTAGTAGATAAAACTTATATCCCAAAGGATTTTTCCTAGGGGAAAAAGTACAAAAAGCTATAACAGTTGAGGCCTAAGGGCTTGGTAGATAAGTGGTTGGCTCTAAAGGGGTGCCTGGGACACTTTTAGAGTGATGGACACATTCTGCATGATAAAGAAGACTGTGTTAATGAATTATACATTTGATAGAAATCCAAGGATTTCTGCATTATATAGAATGTACTTTTATGTATGCATAATAGCCCCTATACAAACACAGAGAGAGAGAGAGAGAGAGAGAGAGAGAGAGAGAGAGAGAGAGAGAGAGAGAGAGAGAGAGAGAGAGAGAGAGAGATGGACGGACAAACAGACAGACAGACAGACACATGTCAACCCATTGGGATCCCCATGTAGAATAGAAATTATGCTAAACAAAATTAATTGTATTAAAAATATGAAAAATAAATTCTCTTAAAAGATTTATGAGAAAAGACTCAGCTCTGAGTCACTAAGACAAAAAAAAACACAAAAGCAAAACAAATAACAGCACTCTCATCTGGCTGGAAGGCTGGCCACTGTGCTGCCAAGACTTCTGTATCTCACTCACACGGGACTGAATGAAGACCGTGCTGAATATCCATGCCATTCTTTCCTCAAGCCCATGAGAAAGTTGTGAGGCAAAGAAAGACTGGCCAGGCTTCCTCAGGATTCTCAAGGTGGTGAAAAATGACACTGATGAAAGAAGACAAAAAAGACATGAACAGTAAATGCAAGTCAGTATGTTGAATTAGCTCTTGAAGCTGAAATGATACTAATTGAAAAACCAGCTCAAATCCATAGCATCTGCAGTTTAGTTGTAGTGATGGACTGCTTTAAGCATCTTGATTTTGATAAATATCCCATGGTAATACAGACTCTTAGTTTTTTTTTTTG